GACCGTTATGTGGGAGGGGTTTTTGCCGCAAAGACACCAAGTTTGAATTTTTTTTTTACGCTACTGTTCACTCAAACTGAAAGCCCGGGGTCCACTCAAGGTCGTTGGTTACTGAATAAGGTCGTTTTCTGTATGTAAGAATTGTAGATTATGACGATACGTAGGAGAGAGGATAGATAGATAGATAGATAGATAGATAGATAGATAGATAGATAGATAGATAGAACGGCATTTACCTTTTCGTGGGGTGTTTTCGGTCTCAGAAATTAAACCTGATATTATATTATACAGACGGACTGAACTGTGAAACGTTTATGACCCCACCCACGACCACTTTTTTTGCCCTATCGTTCAGTCGGTACAAGATGCGTGATGAGGTTGTTTTATGACTAAGACGAAGAGGGGGCAGGTTATGAGGATATATAGGATAGATAATTAATTCAACATCAGTTCAAGCAGTTTTCAGAGAGTGGTCACCAGCAGATCAACCCCTCCCCACCCACTCCCACACACATCAAATACTGCAAAATACGGTAATAAAGCAACCTCTTTCTATCGGACTCTAAATTGCGTAGATCTTGGGCCTTGTATCGACTGAGCGATAAGAGCAAAAATAAATAAAAAAAAAGGGGGGAAATATTATGCGGATACGTCGTTGTTCACATATTCGACTCATGGTATCATTAGTATCCTTCTATAGAACCACATTTCTGTTGCTTCATGTCTCTTCTTCATCTTTTAGGAGATTGTCCAGCATTCACTGACATAGAGAAGAATTAATATCCGAATAGTAATGTGCATAATAATTAAACTATTGGAATCTATACACGCTATTACGAGCGTCAAACTGTTCTTATGTCAGCAAGAAGTTAGCTGCACACATGAAATCCGAATTGGCGTTATCTTCATAAAACAGGCGCTGAGAGTAACAATACAGTCAATGAATTTCACCGAGAAGAACTGTTTTGAAAAGCCATTATCTAATTATGAGGCATTCAGTAGAGGCTATTTTTATTAAATGGGAGTAAATAGAGCTAACTACATAAAACATGCTCGGAGATAATCAATATTTGATTGACAAATAAGAAATAGGTAGGTTTTGGCGGTGATCGGACGAATGGCCTAAAGAATAAAAAAAAAATGGGACTTTCGCAATTTTTTTTGTTGAAATTTTAACGATTGAAGAAAGAAAGAAAGAAAGAAAAAGAAAGAAAGAAGAAAACGAACGTCAAATGAAAGAACGAAACAAGTAAATATATAGCAATTACAATACCCACGCGAATAATAAACGTTGAGATCTAGTCTATCAGACAATGCCTCAACGTCTGTCGCTGTCGTAGTCGACCTCAGCTCCAATCCAGTGATGGTCGCCTACGTCCTAAAGAGACAAGACATTTGAGCACAAACTTTCTGTTGTAGCATACCTATGGACGATAATGGGTATGTTCCCACTCAACATACAGTAGTATATACTGTATGTTGGTCTGCAGCCGGACATTCGTCTCCAGCTGTGCTGGTCAAACTCTGCCTCCGGGCAGAGTCTCTTTTCGGGAAACAGATACCCGATCCAGTTTTATACGGGGTCTACGGAGAATTTTTGGTCAAGCCTACGGTCTCGGATATCCCACATTAAATTAGGCCTTGTGCCACATCTGACCGCGTGGGGCGGTTTGTAGATGTCCTGCAGTTGGAGATTCATTGTGGAATTCACTTGACTCACTTCTAGCAGTTGACTACTTTTTCTACGCGCCGCTGGCTAATCTTATATGTGTTGTTCTTGTCCTAAGTATTATCGTTCATTACCAACCTTCGTATGATTATTCTATTCAGTAACCATCCCTTTTCACTGTCATTATAAACCCAAGAAAGATTTTTTTTTTATTTTGTTCGGTCGCTTTAGCTCGGACATTAATGAGTCTTTTACGCCAACCAACACGGCATTAATGTCGGAAGGTTATTAGAGTGGCATCCTGTGTCATAACATACCTGGTTAATGTAGGTGGTTGATGAACGGTCCACCCGTCTGGCTCCATGGCCAGGTGTCCGGAGCAGTTGATCACTCACGAGTTCTTGTAACTCAAAGGGCATTCTGTGTTCGCATAAGATTGTAGAAATATCAGGGATGGGTTCCTAGAGCTGGCTTTAGATGTTAAGCGATGTTAAGTACAGCTCTTACCATCCGAGTGTACGTTCCAATAACCTGAAGAAGGTCGGAGTGTACAGCGGCTGAAACGTTGTGAATATGACAATGGAGATGAGGATAACAGCCCGAATAACGTAAATAATGCAAGTAATCATAATACCTAAATTCAGAGATATAGACAGATATTTCAGCTTTGATATACAGAAATGATACGGAACTAGGGGAAAGGCGAAAAAGTTTTTAAAATGGTTTCAGCGCTAAGAGCCCTGTCTTGTTTTTCTTCCATCCCAAACAACAGGACCGACCCTTTGCACTACTTCCAACTTTCAACTCTCCCTCCCACTACAAAGTGAAAAAAAAAAAATCAGAATAATTAAGGAGACTTTTAAATAAAATAATAACATGGGATTTGTTGGGATAAACTGAACGACTTTAAAAGGAACAGATTTTACAGGGATGGAATAAGAACATATTTGGGTGGCGGTCGATGGAGAGAAGAACGAGTAGTGTGCCAGGCGTTTACTCATCCTCCAACAGGTGAAGGAGGATGTCCTTTTAATGTTCGAAACCCCAATGGACACTGGATCGAGAGCAAGAATGACTCAGCTCTCTTATGGAACAAATGGTTGCTTTTCTAATAGTTTCTCACTATAAAATAAAACCGCTACCCCGGTAAGTCCGGGGTGTTTATGGTTGATTTCATTTTTTCGGTTTAACGGCATATCAACTCCTTATGGGTCAATTAACGCCGAAATGTAATTTTCTTGGGAGCTTTGAAGTAATAAAAATATGATATACGTTATTCTGCTTCCACATTTGAATACATGGTAGATTATGCACGGCTTTTGTGCATATACATGTTTGTGTGAACATAATTACTAGAGGCAGCGATTGATATATTATTGGCAATTTTACACACACACGTCTTATCTCATCAAAGTACACAGAGACAAGCGACTGGATCTAGCCGTACAGTTTTGTAACAGCAGTGACATCTGTAAGGAACCTCTAAACTGGATAAATGACGCGTTCGGCGGAGAAGGGTGTATTAAAAAAAAAAAAAATAAAAATAAAAAAATAAAAAATTGCTTTTTTGCTGCAAATTATCCATTATATCATATTCAAGTATTTTACAAAAGATTAGAGTCGATTACACAATATTTCAAGCTCAATTTAGGTTTACAGTTCGTAACTAAGCAATAAGGTAACATAAACTGTAGATTTCTCGGCAGAATATCATTACAGTATTGATATATAATGATAGTGAAATCATTTAGGGTTTTTTTTATTGTCAAAAACATTTTATTTTTGGTCGTATATTAATTTAAAATATTTCTTTTTACAGGCTTTATTTTTTAAATGGAATAAGATCATTCTAAATTTCAAAATTTCGCTATTGCCCATCAAAATGGCTGAAAGAAAACGATCTAAAAACAACAATGGAAAAGGGAGGTAACAAAGCATAAATAAAATATCTTCAGTTTGTTCAAGTTAGGAAACTTAGCATTGCAACCAAAATATTCTAAAATACTGCCAATAACAAAGGAGATAATAAAAAAATACCTAACAACAAATCGAGTATAGCATCAAAATTTATATTTTTATTTATTTGTCATGTAACTAAATCCATAATTGTCAATAATGTTTCCGTAAAAGTTGATATTTCCTGTAATAAATTCTTAATAAATATTATTATTTTTATTATTATTTTACTTAAGTGTAAGGTAATCTGACATTTACAATTCCTTATAGCTAACCATGAAAAGAAATGTTGATCAAAACTGCTTAAAATCTTTAAGGGCGTATTGCCGCAAAATTATCAAATGTTGAATACGCCCCTCCTCCGTCGAATAAATAAAATATCGTTTGAGGACCCAAACTGAAGATCATCTGAACTAACCAAACCAAGCCTATAGTATCTGGGAAACTCGTCTTACACATTCAACGCCTTAACCAGTTTGGCAACAGGATCCAAATCTATTGTTATGCTAACACTGTTTTTCTAAGTTCCTTATTGCAAATTTTACAATGAAGATTACAATGAATTTTACCGATTGAAGACAGGGCAAGGCTAATATCTGATTATTTGCGTTTTTCAAATGTTGCCAGATTCGACGAAGAACGAAGTGGTCACAGGATATCTGACAACTAAATCATAAGATGATAAATGGTCTTGCAAAAACGACTGACTAATGGTGTATTCTCACTATAATGTGTTGTGTCGTTACTCGTACTTTTTTATATATATATATATAACGACACAACTTTTGTTTTTTTCTTTGTGTTTTTGTATTCTCAAAAACACAAAGAAGAAACAAAGACGTAGGTGATTAGATAAAGGCACAGACGAAATAAAGGGATCTGATTTCTGTCCGTGTATGGCTTTCCTTAAAACACAATCTATATGCAAATGTTAGCTATTCCCTTCGTTACCCGGATGTATGGGTGTCGAGACGTCGTAATGGAGAGAGTAGGACGAGAAAGGAAAAAAAAAAAAGGAAATTCCCGGCTCCAAGAGACGAAGGCCCTGTAAGAAAAGGGCGAGGGAAAAGTTCGCAGAGAGTCAGAATTAATGAGTCCAACAAAGAAGTCTGTGGGGTGTGTCTGTCAGGAGGAGGAAGAGGAAGCTGAATATATCTGTGAGCGATAACGCTTTCGCGTGCAGAAGCTCGATAAGAAGAGGGTTGTCCGAATTTTGGTGATAGTCACGTGACGGCTTGGATTTTAATGACAATATGTCACAATGCGTTATATACGCACGCCTATGCGCGTATCCAACATTCATATAAATATAAGCATTTATTCTCACACATACGTGTACACGTTGAAAAGGATCAATGACCGAGCAAGAAGCCATTCCACCACGCCAAAAAGCCGTGATGATGTTCTGCCACATTTTGGGAAGCGGATTGAGAGCTTTTCAACAAATATTCGTAAATACACGCACGTATTATACGTATATTTAGACAGCATATCTTCATTCAAGCAGGTTTGGTTGAATAATCTCGACATATTATTTTTTTCATTTTATTTTAATCCTCTCAAATTCACAGATCAATTTCTTAGTGTTATTATTAACCCGATTAAGACAGACTCTGTAGTTTTTTTCATTACTTGGGAAAATACAAGGAATCAGAAAAACTACGGCGTCTTTCTTAATCAGTTTCATAAGACTAAGAAATTGATCTGTGAATTTATGAGGCTTAAAATAATAAACAAACATGTCTAGATTATTCAACCATTATATATATATATATATATATACATCTCTACACCCTGAAAAAATAAAATTCAGTCGAGCACTTTAGAGGGAAAGCGCGAATTGTAAACAGTGACTGCAACTGCTGATAATGCAAAAATTCTTCTATGAATCGAGCATTCTAAGCCACTGGCGTGTTTATTAAAAAATAAATACGTAAAAATCCACCTCTGTCGGATAACTTAGGGGAAAACTCTCTGACTGATGCCAAATCAATCGGGTTTCGATCCTGGCTTGAGGCAATCGGATGTCTAGTCATACTGATGAGCTGTGATAGAGCGAAACAATCTGTCTGTGGATGACATATATATATGTTGAAAGAGAGAGAGATTTAATTAAAATGGACGTCATTTAGCCTTTAAGACACTTTCGGCCTACACTTTCTGAAAAGGTAAATCGTTGGCGAAACAAGAAACAATCGAAGACGCATTAATAAATAACGAATCAGGAGGGAAAATTGGAACATCATTTGCTGTACAATCCCAATTGTGCCGCCGATTATAGTGACGTATTTTTTCCATCTTACATTTTCCTCATTCGGTTCACCAATTCCGAGTCCTTGAGGCTGTTTACTTTAAGTTTCATCAGCTGGGCTTAAGTCAACAAAACGAATATTTTATTCGTTCCTTACGTTTGATCGACGGATTATGAGTGACTTTTTTTTCCCCATTTTATACTCTTTTTGGAACATTGCATTTTTGAGTCGTTAAATTATGTATAATGAAATAGTGTTCCAATTTTTCCTCCTCAGTCGTTATTTATTGAAGTGTCTTCGATTGTTTCCTGCTTCGTCAACGATTTATCTTTTGAGAAAGTGTTGGACGAAAGGGTCCTAAAGGTTAAATAATGACGTCCATTTTATTTAAATCTATTTTCGTTTTCTGTGGGTACAAGTCTTTGTTTTTACACACACACACACATATATATATTTTCTTTGTATTTAGGCAAAAGTTCAATAAGGCTAATAATGTTAAACACGACAGACATTTTGTGTCATTTAATAATGATCGACATTTTTCAAATTACGAATAATCCTTAGACAAGGGGGGAAAATCCGTCATAAATGGTCCGTAGTTTATTTCGAAAGAAAAGTACGGGTATTATAATCCAAGGTTTCGATAACCGGATAATATATTATAGTAAAAAATACTTCCCCCTACCATTAAAAAAAGAAAAATGTTCAATTTCCTTTTCTTTCTCGTTGAGAAAGGACGGGTCCGAAAATTCCGTATCATAACAACGTTTGTCTGTTGCAAACGGTAATGACTGTCGAACTCTCTGCTTCGACAAAGTTCCGTCCGGGGAGGTAGACAGGCCCTGAACCCGTTTATACGGGTTCAAACGGAATAATTTTGGCCGAGCCTACGGGCTCGGAGAACCCACGCTAAACCGGCCTTGTGCCACATACAGCCCTCGTGGGATGGGGGGACGTTAAATATTAACATCGTTTTTCTCGGCCTTTTGGCTGGGATGAAAGTGTAGTATCTGCCTTCTGCGGATAAACTACATTTCATCTCTCAGTTGTGACTGTCTGCGGACAGATCGCAACTGAAAATATCAATGAGGGTTGCCCTGCGTCGGGGAACAGCTGCCCGCTGCATCTCCCTCATTGCACTAAAGATTTGGGGATAGGATATTTTCATTTTTTTCGAGCTCAACGCAAATAAGCGGTTTAGTCCAATAACGCAAAAAGTTTATTTTTTTCTTTATTCTCACAGGCCTTAAGATTATGACCAGCAGCGTATATAAAAAGGAACGTCGCCGAGTAGTTTGAAAGTTCGCTTTCCAACCATGTAACACTCGGAATCTCGTTAGAAAGAAAACATCTTGATGCTATCGTTCTTGGAGAGGCGATCCCAGTGTTCAGCACCTTTGTAAAGCATACCACGAGTTAACCCAGGCCTTGTGAGTGGAAATGAGAAGACGAAACTCTTCAAAAGCCTTTAACAGCTGCGCTGCCGTGACGGAGAGGTTTTGGGCGTACCGGTGTTGTTCAAACTGCTGATCAGGACATGATTTCGTTATCTCCCAGAAACGATAACCAAGGTACGGTCAGCACAATGGCAGTATAAACGCAAATGTGCCTGAGCAGGTGTATGCAGCAGAGATTCGTTAGCGGTCCTCGCAAACGGTTTGGTTACGTTTGTTTTACGGCATATCAACCTCAATGGGTTATTTAATGCCATCAAATTTTTTTATTGCTTTTTATTTTTTAATTTTTTTATTTTATTTTTTTAATTTATTTTATTTTTTTATTATTTTTTTCATTTTGGACAATTTTCTTTATTTTTATTCTTTTAATTTATTTTATTTTTTCATTATTTTATTTTCTTTTTTTTTATTATTTTTATTCTTTTAATTTATTTTATTTTTTCATTATTTTTATTTTTCTTTATTTTTTTAAAATTTTTTTTTTTATTATTTTATTTTTTAATTTATTTTATTTTTTTATTATTTTTATTTTCTTCATGCTTTTTTTATTATTTTTTTATTTCATCAATTTATTGCTGGTAATATTTTTTATTAATTTATTTTACAAAGTATTTCTGGTATTTTTACAAAGTATTTCTGGTATTTTATTTTATTGATTTCTGGTACTTTTACACTTCTGGTATTTTTTTCTGGTATTTTTACACTTTCAAAACCTCCTGATCAGAGGCCTAGCTGTCGGATGTAGTTTATCGTCATGCCCAGAACAGCCTCGCAGACGGGTGTGCTCAGAAAAACGAGAGTAGTCAAACAGCCATTGTGTGTGTGTGTGTGTGTGTGTGTGTGTGTGTGTGTGTGTGTGTGTGTGTGCATTACATTTTTTTTTTGTTCAGGTTTGAGAGATTTTTGAAATGGAAAGAAAATAAATTAGTGAAATTAATTTTACTCGGTTGTTCGCACAGAGAAAGAAAATAATTATTAAAAAAATATATCGCACTTAATTTTTGTCTTTAATTTTAAACTTTTCCGTTTTGGACATCCTATCGTATCCTAAAATAGAACTAGTAATTAGATAGGATACAGATTTTAATTACAAGATTAATTAAAATTTAAATTAATGAGAAGATATTAATCCCCAGTGATAAAAAGAGTATCTACATAAAATCAAAATAATATTTTTTTTTCTCTTTTGGATTAATTAATTAAGTATTCTTATTAAAAAGGGTAAGAGAAATGTGTTGTCCCTAACTTAGCCGAGGCCTCTGGGATTTGAGCGAATATTGATCCGAAATTGGTCAGAAAGGATTGAAATATTTAATCTTTGATCTGCGTCGACCGAGGTTTTCGCAATGCTTGACTCGTGACAGTTAAATGGAATTAATAAAATGAATGCTATTGGTGAAGTTGGAGTTGGGCCGAATAGTTGACAAAAGATTTAAAAGAAAAAATAAAGTCTTATTTCCGAATGAAAGATGGGCAACTCGCCGTGGTGTAATGGTTAACAAGCTTGTCCCGCTAGATCAATTATGACTGGGTGAGGAGTTCGCTCCTCACAGGGCGTTCCATACTGGCTGCCCTCTGCTACCATGCTTCGGAAATTACTATTTCCAGAGAAAATATCAATGTAAAAAGAAAGAAAAATATCTTACTTCCACTGAAAAGATGTAAAAGAAAAAAATACTTCCAAATAATATATATATATATATATGTATATAAAATAATTTAAAAATCTTATTCAGAGAAAAGATGTAAAAAAAAATTAAATATATATATATGTAGAGAAAAGTTTTAAAAAAAGTAAAATATATTTCCATTGCAAATATGTGTAACAAAGAAACAAGAAACATTTTTAGAGAAATGATGTAAAAAAAAGAAAAGAAACAAATATATCTTATTCACAGCAAAATGATGTAAAAAAAAGACAAAATATATTATTTCCAGAGAAAAGATGTAAAAAAAAAAAAAGACTAGATATATTATTTCCAGAGAAAAGATGTAAAAAAAAGACTAAATATATTATTTCCAGAGAAAAGATGTAAAAAAAAGACTAAATATATTATTTCCAGAGAAAAGATGTAAAAAAAAAGACTAAATATATTATTTCCAGAGAAAAGATGTAAAAAAAAAGACTAAATATATTATTTCCAGAGAAAAGATGTAAAAAAAAAGACTAAATATATTATTTCCAGAGAAAAGATGTAAAAAAAAAAGACGAAATATATTATTTCCAGAGAAAAGATGTAAAAAAAAAAGACAAAATATATTATTTCCAGAGAAAAGATGTAAAAAAAAAAGACAAAATATATTATTTCCAGAGAAAAGATGTAAAAAAAAAAAAAAAGACAAAATATATTATTTCCAGAGAAAAGATGTCGAAAAATATATACTTGCAGAGAAAAGATGTGTAACGAAGTAACATAAATCATTTCTAGAGAAAAGATGTAGAGAAAAAAAAGAAACAAAAATATTTTATTTCTAGAGAAAATTATTCTAGATTGACACATTCCCTGCCAAGCTGCAGAAAACATGTAAAACTGTTTCATTTTTTATTTTTAAAGTTCAATTTGATGCCTAGTGGTTCGTAAATTTTTTCTAGCAGCCCCCACAACCTTGCTCACTGGCTACAGCTTCAGCACCACTTCCCTATACCAATATTTCTTTGTATGGGG